TTAGTAAAGATTAAAGAAAACCAGTGAGACTCAGTGCTCAGTCCAGAAGATCCCATTAAGCATCTCTCTGAGTTTCAGTTTTCAAACTGTGGATTTGTCTCCAGATATAACATCCTTGTTAACAGCAGTATATGAAGATGGGAGATAACAGAACTGATTACCTACCCATCAGCCCTGTTGTCTCTCTGCAAATATTTTAAGTTTCTCGTGTTGACCTGCCTGAAATAATCTATTTATTTTTTGTTAAAAACACATTTCACATTTATAACTAAAATAGTTAAAAATGCAAAAATACATATATTTGTTTTGTTAAAATAAAATGTTTGTAAATATACATGTTTGTTGTTGAAGAAAAATATCCAAAATACATACATTTGTTTTTGATTAAAACAATTTAAATGTCTGGTGGTGGTGGTGATGGTTGTTGTTGTCCACCTAATACAGCGTGGCAAAAATATCCCCCAAATATCCTTGATTAATCTAGTAAATTAGAAATAGTTCACCTCCCAATGACTTTACAGGTATCTGCTTAATTAGCTTTAGTAAATAAAACAACCGAATCATAATTCAGTTCTCTGATCTAGCTGCAAAATTAATCTGAAAAATATCAAAATAAATCACGGCTTTAAAATGTATAGTGTACCTTCTAATAATGAAACCTACGTCTGTCTGAGTTGTGAATAATACATATTCAGGTGTCGCACTCTGAGTCTGCATCATGAATATGGCTCCACCTCATGGCCAGGGTCCCCCTCAACTCGCCTGCCATGACTTGATGGTATATGTAAGAGGGGTTCTATGGTGTTTTCTTCCCCAGAGACAGGGGTACTCATGGGTGCGCTGCGATGTTCCTCAGGGCTCTGTCTCCCATACACACTGTCCACTCACCAACTGCTTGAGTATTCTGGTCTGCGTCCCAACAATATATCAGCCCCCTTGACAATGGGGTGCAGTGTTGACTATAATAATCCAGTCTGATACCAGGATGAAGATTACACCTACAGCTTCAGCCCTTACCCTCGGGGCCCTCGCCAGCAGTGCCAGGCGTGCTCCCCGAGAGGAGCGCCTGCTTGGATCTCCTTATTGCTGAGGGACTGGGAACTGCCTGTCCCCAGCTTGGTGCCAGCCACTGCTCCCATTCCTCTGCCGCGAGGCAGTGTCTGCGGAGCCACTGCTGCCGGCACACAGAGCCTCTCTCCATCCAGCGTGCTCCCAGCTGGCTTCCGCCCCTCTGCCGGCTTCCGGCACGGTTTAAAAATTCCCCGCGGCAGTGACTCCAGCTGCTGTAATCAGCTGGCTGCCACCCTGCCCAGGAAGCAGACGCTTGAAGAGCCGGCGAAACCCAGCTCCTGCTCCACCCCCGCCCACTCAGGAGGTGAGTATCCTGAGGCGCAGGTGGCTCTCCTTTCCCTTTCAGGAATGCCGGGGTTTGCCCCCAGCATTTCTGAGGCCTGTGGGGGTCTCTCACCACCACATAAGGTTATATTAAACAAAAATGTACTTTTTGCAGAAAACAGTAATTCAAGGCTTCCTGACCAGTGATTTAAGTCAATTTGATTTGAAACAAATCCACCCTGTTTAAAACAACTATATTTTTCTTCAGTTTCTGCAACACATTGCAGCATATAGTGCAAGAAAGCTAGCAGTGACATGGGCTGAATCTATGAACCTGCAAACACATGCATAATTTTACTTATTCAAACTACCGTGAAAAACTTCAGACCTACCCTGGTGAAGCATATACATAAGTGTTTAAAGAAACAAGGACTATTACTATATTGTCAACCCCAAGCATTAGTAAATCAGGCTAGGCTTCCCAAATCATAAGATCATCTTAAAAATCATTATTTTGTTATGCATCTTTCAGCTTTACATTTGCGCTTTCAGTATTTGTGCCTTTAGGATTTACCTTTTTCAGCTTCTATCTACAACCAGAAAGACTAAAAACTTTTATAGTGGAAAATAATTCTCACAATTTCATAAAAATACCAAATATGGTACGAATTGGCTTGTAGCTTTTCTAATCAAGTTGCCTGAGCTAATAAAAAGTCATAAAGGAAACCACACAAAAGTAAATGGCACATTTGATTTTTAAACTGTAATATCAGTTTAATAATCTAAAAGATTAGGTACCAAAGCAGAGGCCATGAAGCACTTCCTTGTTTTTTGAAGTGTGTAAAGAGCTAGCAGGTCATAGTCCTGCCCCTTATCTATTCCTGGGTATTGAAGACAGCTACAAACTTGCCCTTGTCCTAGTGCTTTTTTCATGCAAGTAAATATTCTTGTCACGGATCTGTTGTATGATTGTGGCAGGTCTGTGAGACAAGCTGTGAAGATGGAGTCTGCAACATGAAAATAGTTGAAAACTTCGTTAGTTAAAATATTTTTCATATAAATAGCAGAAACAGAACTTTCAAGATCCCATCTTTTCACATGGATAACACATCAGACTTGTCCTCCCCACGCCCCCAAGTCTGTTGGTTTTTTTCACTGCTATCTCTGGGCTCCTGCAGCTCTTCTTAAATGTGGAAAGGAGCTGACTGATGCCCAAAAGCAGTAATCATCTTAAAGGGCCTCTCATCTCTGCAGGGAGCAGATGAGTCTGTTGGTAGCTAAGAAGGCTTGTACTACAAGAAGGCTTGTGACTTCTGTATAGTTCACTGGGCTGGGTCCCACCAGAGTCAACATCATGACAAGCCAGGGTGACCCCATAGCTTAGCACTGCTCAATATGTGTGTGTATGCTCCCAACAAAGGATCCACGTGCTAATTGGCCCCCTACTCGCGATGAACTGGATGTTCCTGTCATGAGTCCTGGGATCCTCTAAAAATGCATATGCAGATAAGGTGCAGGGCACCCTGGTCTTGTTTCAACCTCATGAAGAGTGGAGCTGCGCTAATCATATGCCACAGGCTGACAGCGATGCTTGGTGAACTGTCTGGGGCCCTGTTTGGTGATGTTTGCCAGGTATTTAAAGCAAGTGAAAAAATAGGCATCATTGGAAAGAGGAAAGAAAGGTGCAGCCCAGCTGTGGGGGTGAAGAAGTAAAAATGTAAGAAATGTAGTAGCTCATCATGACTTGAAAAATAGCATTGAGAGGGACTGTGCTTAATGGGCACTACCATATATCTAATTCAGATTACTTGCACTAATCTATCTTTGATCTTTTGGCTAAGATTAAACGTAGCACCAAGGAGGTGTCAGGGCTGGCTCTGGCCCTTTGGTGCTGGCCTACTATTGCAGTATCTCCAGGCCCAGTGCCAGTACCTGGGGAGGGAACACCTACCTGTGTGTTTTTGGGGTGTTTTTTTTAAGGGCAAAAAAACCCCAAACTTACAAACAGTTCTCCTCAGCATGTTTGCCCAACGTGGGTCATGTGTTTTATAGTCATGCTCAGTGTTGGCTGCTTTTAGTCAGCTTCATAGTTGGTTTCCATTGCTGACCACATGTTGCTTTTAGCAGTTTAATGATAGACAGTGTGTTTAGTGAGCTTTCCTTGTTGTCATCATCAGCAATCCCTCGTGGTCAAGGATGATCACTGCCGCAGGTCAAGTAAACGGTAGCAGATGAGTCCATTGATGGCTAAGAAGGCCAGTCCTAGAGCCACAGACTCTTTGGCAGTCTCCGTAGGTGGTGGTTAAAGGGAGGATCGGACCATGGATTTCTCAGTCTTGTTTCCTTTCCTTCCGTTTCTGTCATATTTCTGTGTCCAGGGCGAGACGGCTTTCCTCAAAGTAAGATGTACCTTCTCTCACAAGTTGTCACCATGTAGCCCTGTCCTGGGTTAGTTTTTCCCAGTTGGTGACATCAATGCCAAACTTCTTTTTGTTTGCCTTGAGGGTGTCTTTGAAGTGTTTCCTCTGGCCCCTGCATGTCCTTTGTCCTTGGCTGAGTTGGGAGTATTAGTAGGTGTTCTGGTAAACGTACATCAGGCATGCACTCTCAGTGCCCTGTCCACCAGAGTTGATGTTAAATGATCAATGCTTCCGTACCGGTGGTGTTAGCATCAGTGAGGACACTGGCATTTGTGCAGTGATCCTCCCGCAAAGGATCTTCCAGAGGTAGTGCTGGTGAAGGTGTTCCAGGCTTTTCAGATGGTCCCTGTAGGTCACCCAAGTTTCACAGCCATAAAAAAAGAGTTGGGGTTACCACAGCCTTATATAATAGGAGCTTTGCTCAAGTCCTGATGTCATGATCATTGAACACATGATGATACAGTCTTCTGAAGGCAGAGCTGGCACATCAGATCCTATATGGATCTCCTTGTCGACATTGGCCTTCTTTGAGAGATGGCTGCTGAGGTATGCAAAGTGTCCAACGTTCTCCAGCTCCTGTCCATCAGTGAGGATGTTTGCAAGGGGAGTTGATTAGTTCAGATAAACAGTGTATTCAATGAGATTTCCTTGTATGTGATTATAAGATGGTGGGCTTTTTTTCCCATGCCAGTTGAGGGGAAAAGCCTCATCCCATATTTGAGTAAATATGGCATTTCCTATTTTAAATAAAGGAGAATAGCTCAGGTTTCACTTAATATAGGGCAGTCACTATTTCAGCAAAAGTACCATCGTTTTAAGAGTACCTTATTTTCAGAGTGTGTGATCACCTGAAGTTGACTCTGACTCCAACTGGCATTCTGGGAACTGAGCACATTTGAAAATCAAGCCATAATGACCACAGTCTGCATTCAGAGAATCATTAGGTTGGAAGGGACCTCCAAGGGTCATCTGGTTCAACCTCCAAAAATAAAATGAGTAACGCTGTACAAAGAAAGATGACCTGTACCATGCAATACCATACTATATATGTTGCTGAGAGGGGAGGTGACACCACTCATGTGAGAATGATCAGGTATTTGGTCAAACAGAGAATAAATACTTAGAAAAAACATTTTATAGATTTTAGAGACTGGATCCTCAGCTACCATACGTGATGTAGTTTCATTTAATTGATCAGGTCGTATGACTGTAGTTGGACCTAACGTGTTTCTTTCTTTCTTGTAGGGTGTGCTGATCTCCAAAGCCTTGACACTATGCAGCCAATGGAAAGGAAAAGACAGGGCTACATCCATGAGTTCATCCAGACGGAAGAGCGATACATGGATGATCTTCAGCTGGTCTTAGAGGTGAGATTGACTTGGAACAAAATATGGCTTGGGAAAATCACAAAACAAACTTCATCTGCCAGACCCTTCTTCCAGAACATTTGATGCATAACTGAGTTATGGAAGGGTTATTTACCATATGGAGGTAAACCTGTGCATGTTTAAAAGTAGGACAGGCTCAGATATTATCAGTAATAACACTGCAGAATTCATTTTCTCATGACGTTAAACTCTTCAATTATTGAGAATCACCATGTAATCTAAAGTGAAGCTGCCAAGTCTGTCATATCAGACCTGTTTGATTGAATTGCTGCTGTCTGTCACCAAGACATTCATTGCCTATAATGATCTTTTAAATAACACTGCCTGCAGGTCTCCTTTGTCACCACCTTTATAGAGTGCTGGATTGAGGCCAGTCCATCCCTGATGCCCTATCAAATGTCACTGACACCAGTTATTCTGTTGCTTGCTCTGGGATAACTTTGCTATTTCGGTACTTATCTTCCTCCCCTAGAAAATACCACTTTTCCTCTGGCAGGACTTCCACTGTGGTAACCAATGCAAAAAGACATTTCATTTTTTTTATCAGGTCCTGCTTTTCTCTCACTGATGACTGGAGACTAAAAAGGCTAGGACTTTTCAGTTTAGAAAGGAGAAAGACAAGGGGAGATGTGAGAGGTCTGTAAAATCATGAAGGGTCTGGGTCCAAAATCATGAAGGGAACTGTTGTTCAAGTCTGAGAATACTAGAACTAGTGGGCACCCACTGAAATTAGTGGGTGACAAGTTTAAAACTAACAAGAGAAAGTACTTTTTAGGCAACTTGTTGTTAACTTGTAGGATTCATTACCACAGACGGTGGTGGAGGCAGTTAGCATAGCCAGGTTCAAAAATGGACTATATAAATTCATGTATAATAGATGTATCAATGGCTATTGAACAGAATGGTTAGAAATGTTTCCTCTGGCATCTCTAAACCAATAATGGCTGATGCCACAGAGAGTACTGAATAGGGGATAGATCACTCAAGAGTGACCTGGTTCAGTGCTCTCTCTCTAATAGCATCCACTTCTGCTACTGTTGAAGACGTTTTACTGAGCTAGATAGAAGAACCATTGGTCTGACCCAGTCTGGCACCTCGTAGGTTCTTATGTACTTTTCCCTTCAAGGTCCCCTCTGAGTTAATGTTTAGCACTGCTGCATCACCTGTCATCTCACAGTGCTTTACATTTACCAGGCCTCCCATATACCCTGATCAACAAGGGAAAGGGAAGGATTGCATGCACCTTACAATGAGGAAGCAAAGACAGCTTGCCCTAACAATAGAGGAGTTTAGAGACAATTCTGGGTTAGAATGTGAGCTGCAGCTTAATAACATCCTTGGACCCCACCTATCAGTCTTCTCTAAACTGACTTTATCTCGCCAGATGTGGATTAGCCACCACCCTACTGGCGCATCTTAACCATTGGTTACACTAGGACCTTCCAGATAAAAAAGCATGAGTTTCTACAGCTTGAGCTAACCGGTCAGACTCTCCAGCTTAGGGAGTTGCTCTCTGGGAAAGAGAATTGGTGTTGAGCTGAAGCTCCTGAAAGGAGGTATTGCCCTGCATCCTACTTAAACACTTGAGTCCCTGCCACACATTGCACTTAAAGACCATGTCTCAAATTGTAACCCAGCCACTTGTTAAAGCAATGAATGGCTTCATAAAACAAGGACTAAGCCACAAAGTCGTTCCACAAAAATATGTAATAACTTTGTGGCTGGTTCCTATCATGCCATTAATTGAACATGTGGCCACGTGACCCACCATGACTGGGAGCCTGGATCAGCTGCTGGGGCTCCCAGCACCATGCACCCCCAACCTTGGAAGCCCACAGCTGATGGGGTTCCCAGCCATAGGAGTGCCCGTGTACTCCTGCAGCTGGGAGCCCTGGGGCTTATGGTGCAGTCCCATGGCTGGGAGCCCAGATCAGCTGACAGGGCTCCCAGCCACTGGGGCACATAGTATGCTCCTGTGGCTGGAAGTCCCATGCTCCTGTGGCTGGAAGTCCCATCAGCCAGGGGGCTCCCAGCAGCAGGAGCTTGCTACTTGCTGGTGCAGAGGCATCCCAAGCTACCCCGTGCACCAATTATAAGGCATGATGGGATCTGATGCTTGATCCCACAATCACACCTCCTGCCATGCTTGTGTGACATGGCAGGAAGTACAGTTATCTGGATCTTGCATCAGACCCCATCATGCCTTTACCTGCACATCTGGAGGGGCCATTAATTAAACATCCAATTTAAATGGTTACATGCATGAGGTACATGAGTAAATAAAACAAGTAGTGTTTGAGCATCCCTGGATTCTAAATTGCTGATTTCTCTCCATTTTGAAGTCAACCTGCAAGGCAAGTCTAGTGCAATTAAAGCACATGAATGGATGCCTCAGGAGTACTGAGTGCTCTCATGTAGCTGCTAAACCATTCGTAATTTAGAAACGGAAAAGGCACTGGCCATGTACTGCTCTCTTTGTATTTGAAGCTGCTCACTTGCCTGTTGTTTGACTGTAGGTTTTCCAGAAACCCATGGCTGAATCAGGCTGTCTCACAGAAGGAGAAATGGGACTGATCTTTGTTAACTGGAAGGAGCTCATCATGTCAAATACAAAGCTATTGAAGTGAGTACTGCCAGCTTTGTGTGTCCTGCATACTAGCTCAATCGCTCACACATTTTCCCCATAATGTATCCTCCCATTCTGCTCCCTAGAAATCGATTTGATGGTAAGTGTTTCTGCTCTTGCTGATTACTTCCCATTCACTAATCCTGTAGGATGTGAATTCAGAGCAGCTAAGGGCATTCAAAGCATCTTCCAAAGAAAGAGTTTTGCTGAGGAGAATACACAGGAAGAACAACACGTATCTGAGAACCTTAGAATACAAGAGAAGTTTTCTCCCTGTAGAAACTCAGTGATGTGGTGGGATTCCATTTTCATGAGTGGTGGGACTGCAGAGGCCCCTGGGTGAACCCACTGCAGGATGGCCAGCTAAGTCAGGCTGCTATGTTGTTCCCCATCCAGAGCCCTGCGTGTGCGTAAGAAGACAGGAGGAGAAAAAATGCCCGTGCAGATGATTGGGGACATCCTACCAGCTGAGCTCTCTCACATGCAAGCCTACATTAGGTTCTGTAGCTGTCAGCTCAGTGGAGCAACATTGCTGCAACAGAGGACAGATGAAGATACGGAGTTCAAAGACTTTTTAAAGGTATCCTATTCGCTAACTTCCCTCTCAACTCAGGCTTCCTTTCGTTTCATGGCAGGACCCTTTCAAAAGGAGGGCCTACCATTATCTGAATGACCAGAAAGCACAGCACTCCAGAAGTTCACCTGTATACATAGGGACACAGGCCTGGAAGAGGCCTCCTGGGCCACCGAGTCCCACCTTCTGCGTTCACAGGCAACCAGCTACCCAAAGAATCCATCAAGGCACTTCTTCAGACCCTGCAAAACACAATGCCCATAACACTGACACAACCCACATGCTATGGGTAAAAGCAGGGGAAATGAGGACACAGCAGGGAAAACCACTAGCAATCACAGAGAAGTAATTGGTTAATATATGCTCAGAAGAGCCTAAGGAAAGGGCCATGCTCCATACTACAGAATAACTCCCCACTGTCCTGACAGAAGGGGAAATACCTGACCCCAGATCTAGTGTTGGTAGGACCATGAGAGGAATAGCAAGATCCAGTAGCTGGCAACCTCTGAGTTTTCTAAGTACTGGCAGCAACATCAGCACTCCATTGCCAAAACCCCACAGTATTAGTTGTGGCCAGTGTCCCAATGATTCAGAGGAAAAGCAAAAACCCAGAAGCCAATAGCAGTCACAAAAGGGAAAAATTTCCTTTCTGGCCCATACTAGCAACCAGTCAAGCCCACAAATGATCCTCTCCTTTCATAGTTTCTAGGGTCGGAAGGGACCTGAGTAGATCATCTAGTCCGACCCCCTGCCTTGGGCAGGAAAGATTACTGGGGTCAAACGGCCCCAGCAAGGTGTTCATCTAACCTCCTCTTAAAGACCCCCAGGGTAGGAGCCAGCACCACTTCTCTTGGAAGTTGGTTCCAGATCCTAGCTGCCCTGACCGTGAAGTAGCGCCTCCTGATATCTAGCTTAAATCTACCCTCTACCAGCTTGTGACCGTTATTTCTAGTCACTCCTGGTAGTGCTCAGGGGAACAGGGACTTCCCCAGTGCCTGCTGATCCCCACTGACTAGTTTGTAACAGGCCACTAGATCCCCCCTCAGCCTTTTCTTGTGGAGGCTGAACAGGTTCAGGTCCCATAGCCTCTCCTCATAAGGCCTACCCTGCTGCCCCCTGATCATGCAAGTGGCCTCCTCTGGATCCTCTCCATGCTGTCCACATCCCTCTTGAACTGCGGCACCCAGAACTGGACGCGGTACTCCAGCTGTGGCCTGACCAGTGCCACAGAGAGGGGGAGGATCACCTCCATGGACCTGCTCGAGATGCATCTGTGGATGCATGACAAGGTACGGTTGGCCTTCTTGACTGCATCCCCACGCTGCCGGCCCACGTTTACCTTGGAGTCAGTGATGACTCCAAGATCCTTTTCTGCCTCTGTACTGACAAGAAGGGAGTCTTTCCTTTGAGGAGTCCTCTTATGTCTGACATGCTGCTGGTGCTGACACTCAGGGTACACACTTTGCAGTCACGGCACAGCATGATCTTTTCTTCCATATCGGCCTTGTATTTTCCATTTCATGGCTTCAAATTCCTCCAGCATCTTTGCTGCACTTTTAAAGCTTCAGTGCCTCTGTCTGCCCTTTTTAAAGTGCGTTCTACCAGGAGAGGCCAGGATTGATTCAGGATGCAAGACTTGTCATAAACACCCCGTGTAGCTTGTAAAATCTGTGAACAGGCCGCACCGAGCTGTCGCTAGATTGTGCTGTGTTGGATTGGGTGAGACTGCCATGAGAAGGAAACAACGGTCACGGGGAAGTGGGTGTGTTCCTCAGATGAACAGGAGGAGCTGCTTCCACAGCGCTCTGGGGAAGAATGCCAGAACTGATGCCATGAACGTTCAGCTTTCTTGTAAATGTAGAGACCCTTGTGTTAAGTAAAAGAAAAGTGGAAGCAGCTGTTTATGACAAGATTCTGTTGTTGTGGTGGTTCCATGGGCTATTTATGCTTTACCTTCTTGGCCTACCATGCCAGCCTCTTTCAGTCAAATGTCGGCTTTACCATTCCCTCCTGTTTGCTCTAAATGAAATGGCCTGTGGTTCTTCACCTTGCTAGAAAACTCTGCTCCACTCGTTACCATTCAGTGCAGCAGTGCAAATGTTTCTGTTTATGCGCTGATCCACAATGCAACCTCACTGTTACACCTCTGGATTACACTGTAGAAACTAGCCTCGGACCCTCGCTGTAAAGGGATGCCACTTTCCAGCTTCCTGCTGAAACCCATGCAGAGAATAACCCGCTACCCCCTGCTCATCAAGAATGTGAGTAGTGACATCCTGAGTCTTCTGCCTCAAAGTACAGAGAAAGCCTTGTCCGTAACAAGGATTTTCTCTCTAAGTAGAGTATGCACGACACTGGTCTCACTTGTGCTTTATCTCTACTTTTCACCCAGATTCTGGAGAACACCCCCGAAAATCATCCTGATCACAGCAACCTGAAGCTGGCCCTGGAGCGTGCTGAGGAGCTGTGCTCTCAAGTGAATGAAGGGGTGCGTGAGAAAGAGAACTCAGACAGACTGGAGTGGATACAGTCGCACGTGCAGTGTGAAGGACTTGCTGAGGTAATGGTGGCTTGGTGGGGAGGACAGTGGGTGGGTGCGTAGAGCTGGTCCTTACAGCCTTTGGAACATCATTTACTCAGAGGCCAGAAGAATATAGAGGTTAGTGCTTTACCACGTAGGATCTGTTCCCCAAGTGCCACCCCTAGTAGTCCCAAAGGGAGGTGCCTCTCATCCAGTCAGGCAGATCTCTTGTATCTGATTGGTTTCATATGTCTGCATGCGGGGAAATTGCTGACATTTTAAATGAGTTCCATTAAGCTCCTGAGCTAACACTTACTTAACAGTGAACAGAAACACTTTGGTATGTTCAAAGTTTTGCTCATGCTGGCTGCAGGCTGAGGCGGGTGTTGCTACGAGGTTTTTCTTCACATCACACCATAAGGGTGCAGGACCAGATCTCAGTGGTAAATAGGAAGTAGGCACCTAAATCCCTTTGGAGATCTAGAGATTGCTTTTAAGCTGAGTTTCTGGAGCACAGAATGACAGTTTCCAGGAAACACACTGGCTAGTAACTCAATCAAACGTATCAGTGGCTTTCCAGCCTTAAACCAATGGTTTCCATCGGGAAAGGTTGAAACTGCTCCAAATTAAAGAAGTCTGACCTTCATTCAGCCTTGCTAGATGTGACATTAGCCATTGGTGGAAATGTACAGGACTCTTGCAAGCATTAAGCATGGGAGTAGTATTAACTAGTCGCTGTGAAGACGAAGTGGGAACTAATGCACATAATTCCTCAGTGCTGCTGCCACTTAACATACTGCGTCTGTCCCTCTTAGCAACCGATTTTCAACTCCCTCACAAACTGCCTGGGCCCACGAAAGCTCCTGCACAGCGGCAAGCTCTACAAGGCAAAGAGCAGCAAGGAGCTCTATGGCTTCCTCTTCAACGACTTCCTCCTTCTAACGTACATGGTCAAGCAGTTTGTTTCCTCGGGGTCGGATAAACTCTTCAGCCCCAAATCCAACTCTCAGTTCAAAATGTACAAGATGGTGAGTGAATTACAAGCCAGGCAGCAGTGTTTGAAACGTGGGACCTGATCTCTCAACAGAAATTGTAGTTGCTATCCAGCACAGACTGTCACTTATCTTTTATGCCTGAGGTGTGTTGTCAGCAGGCCGCAGAGCTTCATTCATGTAATGTGAGCACGACGAAGAGAACAGCCCCCTCCTTCCCCTTGCTACTTCTGTTGGTGAAGTCCTCCTTCCTTTTCATGTTGAAAGGACAGCAATACCCATAGTTAATAGATGGTGCTCAGTGGTCAAGATGGGCCTTCAAGGAGGCTCCTGATTTCGCTCTGAGAGTCCTAAAAATCTCACCTGATTTTGAAGAGAATGGGACTTGCCTAAATACTGACTTGGAAGCCTAACTTGAAATCCCTCCTCTTGAAAACGTTGGCCTCTGTGGCCAGCCACCACATGCTGGACCAGTCAGTGATCACAGGGAGGGAGGGAGGAAAGCAGTGTCTCTATTTTGGAGGGGAACCTAAAAGGGTAAGGGCTTTATATGTCGAGCTCCACATGACTCCACACTGATGCTTGGCGCACACAATTTTGCCCCTTTCATAAGTCTGTTTTCATAGACAGCCAGTGTAGGTATTTATTCCTCTACCTTACAAATTCTTTATCCTAGAAAGATTTTCTCAAGGCTTTAAATAGTGACCTCACTGTTTATCTTGTGTGCGGTGAAGCACTGTTGTTTTCTTCTGGGAGAACCGGTGTATTTAAACATCATAGTTTGGGCTGGGCTTACCCTGGTGACTTCATTGCGGTGAGATTTACTTTTCCTGCCTTTCTTTCAGCCTGTTTTCCTTAACGAAGTCCTTGTGAAATTGCCAACTGACCCTTCCAGCGATGAACCTGTTTTCCACATATCCCACATCGACAGAGTTTACACACTAAAAACAGACAACATTAATGAGAGGTAAGTCCAGGAAATGCTGCTCTAAGGCCACAGACAGAAGAACACAACTCCCTGTTGCAACTCATAGCACTTTGCAGTAAGCGCTATGAGTTGTAACAGTCCCTGGGACCCAGCAGAGGTCTGCTGTTGGGTCCAGGAGCTGGGGATTCCAGCTGCTTGCTGTGAGCCTGCAGCCGGTCTCCGTAGCCATGCCACTCCTTCTCCCCACCCAGAAACTGTTTTCAGAATGATGGGGGAAGGGAGCAGAGGGAGCTTGTTCTTGGGGTTCCCCAGCTGGCGCTAGAGGGTGGGGCAGCTGGGGAACCCCAAGAACAAGATGGCACCTGCTGAAAAACCCCCAGAACAAACTCCCTCCATTCCCTTTCTGCCCTCTCATTCTGAAAACAGTAACAGTGTGGGAGCTCCACAGACACAGGTTACAGAACGCACTCCATTTTGGAGCGTGTTCATCTGAACCCTTCTGCAATGGGGGTTCAGATTTTTGTGGGATCAGGCCCTTTTAAAGTAGTCTGCAGCTATGCACTTGTGTTCAGTCACAACTGTAAATTGCTTTCTGGGGCAAGATCGAGGGAAAATTTGTCACTTCTGTCAGTGCTCTAAGAGTGCACTTTTAGGGCCTAACTACTGGAAGGAAATTGTTCAGAATGGACAGTCCAGTGGGTCTCTGCATCTCCTCAGGGCAGCAGAGCGATTAGTCTTGTGCAGAAATGTGACTGTACCTGTGGAACTGGCTTCAGACCAATGGGTCCATTCCACTGACTGGAACTGACATTGGATCTAACCTGCAGGGAGTGTTTGTGTTGGGCCTGGCACAGACGTGGATCTGTCTAGAGCTAGATGGATTTGTCTGTAAAGACCAGAATTTCATTCTGTCCTGAAACCATACAATAGAGTTGTTGATAATTATCTCAGCTGTCAGGGCTCTGAGTCTGATTGTCCTTGTTAAACTGGTGTAAATCAGGATTAAGTCATTTGAAAACTATGTTCCACTAAACATGCTTCCCTCCATAAGTGGAACTGGAACTATTTAACTATTTCTCTGCTGCTGCTATCTATGAGACAAGGATTTCTTAGGATGATCTCTTTTATTGGACCAGTTGCATAGCTGGGGTAGAGTTAGACAAGCTTTCAAATGCAAGATGCTTTTCTTCAGGTCTCTGGCATCAGGTCTGTTATCTATAGCAGCCATTGACAAAGTATGTCTCATCACTTCTATTTCTGGCCCACATGGAGGATGACAATTGAGAGGGAGCCCAAGGCATGAGTTATGTAAGGACTCAGACAAGAAGATCACAGTGGTTCCTTCTGGCTTTCTCATCTGACTCTGTGACCCTCATACAGTTATTTCACTGGCTGAGATCTGCATGCATCTAATAGGCTGCCACATGATAGAATTTCTCAGATTTTTCAGTTTGATAATTTAAAAGCATAGGGAAGCACACAGAAAGTATTGTTAAAAGAACATTATTGAAGCAAAATCAAAGATACTTAGAAGCTTAAAAGTGCCATCCTGAAAGGTGTTTGTGCCTTAAGCCTTCATTTCCCAAAACGTTGTGTGAACCCTTGATGATGCAGCCTGTAATGACATAGGGTGCAGACAGATGTAACACTTAGACCATTTCAAATGTGGTTTAAGTCTTACATGTCTAGACCAGTTTTGAATGGTTTAAACTTCCTGGAAAGTTTCAAAGGCATACCTGGACAAGCAAGAGTTATTTTGAACTAGTCCTCTGTGACCCAGTTCAGTCTTATGTGCAGACACTGAGTTTTCTGTGACTAATGTCTGGTCGGTCCTCCAGGCATCCCACACTGCCTTGCTCCTCACCTCCTCCCCAACCCCCACAGGGCAACTGGCTGTTCTGGCACTACTGTCCAAACATTTACTGCCTGTGCTGACCACGGTTCAGCCAATCTGGGTCATCCTCCTCCCATCAGGGAGTTCTGGGGAAACTCGGAGCACTCACCAGGCAAGGCATTCTGGGGTGAGTGTTCACTGCCACCCCGGGGATGGTTCAACAGCACTGCAGTGCCTAAAAGGTGGCTTCTCTACTTCAAACGTGTGCAGGACAGCTGTGAGCCAGCTCCCAGTCAGTGACGTTCGTAGAACAGGTTGTTATGTCTGTCTGTGCCCATTGAGTGCCTGTTTTGTATGGCGACCAGGATGGGACCTGCTTTAGGATGCATCAGGCTTGTGTGGCGAAGGAGGTTGCTGTAGGAGGTGCTCTTTCTATGGACCTGAATTTACTGACCCTGGATCCCTTCCAGGTCTATGTTCCAATGTTCGTAGGACGCAGCCCCATTTGTTGCACAATTCAGCAAGTGTATAATGAATGATGAACAGGATTACAGGATGTTCCTGTAGTTAAGGTAGTTTAATGCTGCTGTGAAGAACAGGCTTCCAGCTCTGCCCTTACTGGAGCGTTCGTACGTGATGGTGGGCATGTCACTTCAGTCACTTTCCCCACAGAATGACCAACTGCATGTTTCTTATTTTCTCAGTCCCACACACAAGATCCTGCAGGATGATTTGCAGAAGTGCTGCACATGCTCATCTGCTCCTGACAAAACTGGGAGCTGAGCTTTGAACACAGAAAGGGTGATATGATGCAGAGTATCCTGAAAAATCAGATCCCAAATGTCTCAAATTGGGCACAGAAACATTTTGCTGTAATTTCTGTGCATCAGCTCCCTGTATGCGTAAGGTACTACCCCTGCAGACTCCCTTGGGAGTTGTGAAGATAGATTACTTAATGCTTTTGAAGCAAGTAGATGCCAGAGTAAGAAGCACCATAGAAAACCCAGGGAAAGGCATCTTTCTGTCTTCAGGGGAAGATTTAATCATACACCAGTTATATTAGAGTAGTGCAGGTAACCCTGATTCTGGCATTGCCTAACTTTTCTTCTAACCTCATGATGTAGTTAGTAGGAGTGTGTGAGACGCATGTACAGACCACCCACACATGCCAGCCTTCTTTTTAGAGTGTGTCCTGTTCCCGATTCCTCCCATCTGATCACACCAACGTCTTGCAAAACATATTCATCCTCCGAGGAGCAAGCAGATTTAAATAGAACAGACTCTTTCTACACAAATGCAATGAACAGTGTATAAATAAAATGTTTTTCGCCATGAAATGGTTTGAAACGTTCTCAGGCTGCGTGAAGTTCACCCCACCTAGCTCTAATCCAGCTACATGCCAGGGGCAGGGCAGGCACGCAAGTCAACGGGGTCAGAAGGTTGGGAGACTGTTGCCCCATGAATGGGGCAAGTAGATCATTACTTGAATCTTTTCCTGTGGTAGGAAAAGGTAGCAGGCATCCCCCTACTCCAAAGACTGCCCCCCCCATTTTCACCCAGCTCCCAATGGCCTCGTCTACTCGGGAGCGATCAGCCCTACAGAAGGGGAGAAAGGCCCTTACAGAAGTGATTCACAGAGAAGCCAGAGCCTTGCGGGATTGGATGTCAGTGAGGAGATGAGGATGGGAGCCTAATGGTTAAGGAGCCCTAAGGGTAACTCAGAAAGAAGGGACCAAGACATGTGAGTCTTGAATTAGAAACACAGGTTGGTTAAGTGGCATTGAACTAACTGCAAGTTTTGTGGCTCCAAAGTAACTCTGCAGGGCTTAATCTTTGCAGGACTGCCTGGGTCCAGAAAATCAAAGCTGCATCGGAGCATTACATCGAGACAGAGAAAAAGAAGCGGGAGAAAGCGTATCAAGGTACAGTGTGGCACATGCAGAGCTCTGTTGCCTGCAGGCATGTCACAGCCTTTTCTTGAGGATATGGCAGTAAGCCATAGAGTCAGAACGGTGTTTTAGCAGAAGGCCCTCTCCTGGCTGAGCCAGGCTCAGCTTGAGGCAAGTCAGGGCTGTTGTGTGGCCCCTACACACCTTCTGACTACACTGCCTCGTCTACATTGGACAGATGAACTTACAGTCATTACTGGCTTTAGTTTTAGACTCAAACCCATTTTATTAATTCAGATGTCTCCTTTTCCAGCCCGCTCCCAGAAGACCTCTGGAATAGGACGCTTGATGGTGCACGTGATTGAAGCAACAGAACTAAAAGCCTGTAAACCCAACGGTAATGACCTAGGGATGGATTCCCCTCCCCCCCATTCAGAGAGAAGGGCTAAGAATTCAAGGTGTCAGGGGCCAGTGCAGATTTCAATTGCTGCCTCTGAATGAATTATCCTTTAGGTGGCTCTCAAAGGTGGAGTGAGGGGAACGTCTCTGCACTGCTCTGCAGAGTTGTTGTATGACCCAGGCTTTCTGTATGGCAAGTAGCTGTTCAAGCTGGGAAAGGCTTTTGTCCTGAGCTGGCAGCTGGTGTAAAGCGGGGATCTGGGGAAGGAACTCTGGTTCGGAGAGTCAGCTGAAGAACAAAAGGGGCTGAACAGAGGTCTGGCACTCCCGTTTCCTAGCACTTCATTGCGAGATCTGTGCAGGGGAAAGCATTTCACTGCTTGTTCTTTATTCAGGGAAGAGCAATCCGTATTGTGAGATCAGCATGGGGTCTCAAAGCTATACCACTCGGACGCTGCAGGACACTTTGAACCCCAAATGGAACTTTAACTGCCAGTTCTTCATTAAGGACCTGTACCAGGATGTCCTGTGCATCACCATGTTTGACAGGGATCAGTTCTCACCTGACGGTAAGTCTGGACCTTTATTTTGGGACGTGAGAGCTTCTCTAAGTCTGTGAATGTTTGCTGGGCTGGCCCTTGGAAACACGTATTTATAAGCTAAGCATACAGGATTTGGAAATTGCAATGTGGGACTTCCCAATACCACGTTGTGGCTGTTCAAAGTAAAACCGTGTTGTCAGCGTGTACCAGCATGTAAATGAAGTGGCCAGAATGAAGCCTGTGTCCTGGCTGAAGAGAACTGTAAATGATCCAGTAGGTATTATTATTTAGGATCATTATTTTTCATAGAGGAAATGGAATATATAAACCTAATTACAAGTGCCTGAACTAAAGTTAACTAAATCCTGGGCCAGGCTCTATGGTTGACTTGAGATTTGAACAAATCATTTTTCTGCCCATTTCTGTCTAAGATAAAGGTAATAGTTTTCACTTGACAGGGACTTTAGTGGAATGGAAGTGGTGTTTGTAAAGCACATTATGATCCTGACCTGTTCTGGAGTAGAGCAAAGAGTCTAAATCAGCCTCATGTGCATTAGGGAGTTCAGCTTCAAGGGTGCTGACCTCACATCTACCACATTTATTCTTTGCTGTGTTCTCACTTCCTGAGACCACTGCAGCTGACACATTTAAGCCTTACACTGTAAAATGGTATTGGGAACAACTGTTTCCTCTACTGTGAGAAACAGTCACAGCTATGGGGCACCAAGAAAACTGCCTTTGGCATCCAGAGCACTGCAGAGACCTGCTCATGATGACACTCCAGAGCCTTTTCCATTCCAACTGTATTAGGAATCCCTTTCTCATTACGTATAGGTCTGTTGAGCCATTCTGATCTCATGCCTGACAAACCTTGTTCTGTTTTTCTAATCAAAGCTGGATTGTTTAATGCTGCTGCTTGGTTGTTTACACTTGTTCAACAGATTTTTTGGGTCGCACTGAAATTCCAGTGGCAAAAATCAGAACAGAACAGGAGAGCAAGGGACCTTCAACAAAACACTTGCTGCTGCACGAGGTCCCAACTGGGGAAGTCTGGGTCCGCTTTGACCTGCAGCTCTTTGACCAGAAGACACTCCTTTAAAGAAATGTGTTTCATCATAGAAAGGACAAGTGAAGCCGACAGCTCGGCAGTCAGTCTGAACGCGTTTTACAAACTATTCTTCATCCCAGGCTGGTTACTGACCAAGAGTTCTTGCTGCATCATCATTCCTCCTCGTTTCCTCTTGTACGGGATTTCTTTGCTGCATTCTAAGTTGCTGGGGATCTATGCAAACACAGGTGTTACTGTACAGAAGATATTTTAGCCAGTGCCTTTTTATTGACTAATATTGAAATCTGTGTTATACAGATGCCAGTGCTTCCATTTTCAGGGCCATATGGAGTATTAAGTAGGCATTTGGCATCACAGCATGTCACCACTTAGTCTAACATAAAGACTGAGGAATGTTTTAGTGGAAAGCTAGAATCATTCCATCTGAAAAGTGATATCCACTGGAATCTGCCCATCTCAGGATGTTAGTTTTAGAGCTTGAATGCTGAAGCCTTAGCACTTGAGGAGCCTCAAAAATACTGTATAGTCTTTAAGAAGAAATCAAGTGCAGTGCTTTACTTGACTCAGTTCGGCACTGAATAGGAAACTGCAACTTGATTTTTCTTCCTGGTCAGTTTTTTTAATTGTTCTCTGCTGAGATAATGGGGTTAAAAGAGGAAACTAGAGAAAAAAAGATTTATTTTAAATACTGTGACCTGCAGTAATGCAGACTAAATATTTTTCAAGTTTTAGCTTTCCTAAGTATAAATTATTTGTGTAAATGGCCTCAGTTCTGCAGGTCTCAGTAGGCTGCACCTGTAAGCTTTGTCATTGCCAATGTGTAAAATATTAATGTAAAGAGAGTAAAATATTAATGTAATTTGTCTACAGATGTTTACTGATACATATTGATTTTTAAAGTCTATTTTATTGTACAAGCAAATGTGAAATAATGGGGAGTAAAATTACAGGGACTGAATTGAAAGTGAGTCTATTAAGCTATTAGTTGTGTCTGCTCTGGGAACTGCTTGTGCAGTGGGATCAGGTAGAAAGGAAACCTCTTGCAAGCAAAGTCTTCGTCCTAGCACCAACACCAGGAAAAGTAGATAGGGTTTATTTCTAACGTGTTTGATAAATCTGAACCATTTTACTGCTACCGTCATTTGTCTTGCTGACATGAAGCCCTGTGTGCAGTTCCAAATGAGAAGCGCGCTGGTCTCCATCCCATGGGTGCTGCGATACCTAGTGACATCCAAAAGAATATCAAGCCTGTTGTGCTTCCTTGACAGGGTTCGAGTCAGCCCCTTGGTTACTTTTGACAGCTTTCTGTGGTTCAGTATTTCTAATCCTGAATAAACAAAGGTGAATCTTAGTGCTGTGGAAAGGCAGTGTCTATTCAACTGACTGAAAACACATTTCACACACCTTAAGATGGCAGCACTTTGTGAGAGAAGAACAAGTGTGCGGTTCCCTAACCTCTCTCCTTCTGACCTTGCTGCATCCCAAACACACATGGTGCAGGATCCCAATCACTATTTTAAAGTATAGACTGTGTTTAACTTCAGGGCTACTAGGAGAAGTTAACAGTGCAGGGGCTGTTAGCACTGGTCTTCCAGAACTACGTTCTCCACACCTCAGTGCTTCCAGCTGTCAAGGTGTTAAATCGGTCTCTAAGCTCCAATCCCTTTCTGCTTGTGCACTTCATACATCTCAAACAAATCTTCATACATCTTGAAGTTGCCATGATGATATGAACTTAACTTTCTGCTGCATCAAACAGAAGTCTGTTTTCACCTAGGATGTTTTAATAGAGAAGTAAATATAGGACCAAACATTGCTAGAGAATAAGTGCCTGAAGAAGCTATGCCTCCCACAGCAGATTCATCTTCCCCACTTCTAGGTCACTGCACAAGCAGCTGTGTGGAGTGGGACTGTTCTGCCTCAAAGCTGTATAAAGTCCAGCCCAGGGGCCTGCATGTTTTCACTTCACTTCTTGATCCCTGCAGGAACTCATGCCTGGCTCCGTGACTATGGCTTGTCTTAAGTTTGACATTCAGACTCTGGCAGAGTGTTTTTCCTGCCCTCCTCCCTTTCTGAGTAATGAGGCAGCCCCAGGTATTAGTGAAGATCAGGTACAAAACAGGAGGATGGGGCTTCGTTTGTCATTTCCGTCTTAGAAGTCTGACATTTTTCAAAGCAGCTCTTATGCAGCATTGAAATAAGCTCTAGCGTCTGAGTACTTTCCACTGTGTCTAGAGAGTAGCAGTTCTAAACAAACACCTACAG